CAAGGAGCACACACGCCTCGCATCTCATAATAAATTGTGTAAGTATTTTTCAAGCACTTTGTTATTAACTCATCTTTTTTTTTATTCGTGTATTAAAGTCGATTTTTATACCAACACTCATGCAATGTAGTCTTTTGATAATTAGTATATTTTTTGCATTATCCTGATTAAAACAGTACGTAACAATGCAAGAAGGAAATAAAGGGTACAATATGAAAAAAATGTTTGGATAACGCTGGTGTAGGGGAAGGCTAGATCAGTAGCAACTCGAGGAAGTGTCAATGGCGACTGATTCTATTAGTTGGAAAAAGTACATTTTGATGACGTCACAAAGTTACGGATGCCTTGTGAATATGGTCGATCATTTTCGTCTTTTCAATTTTCAAAAAGGACGGAAAATAATGATTTTAATGGTTATATTTTCACTGAACAATCATCATAACAGAAGCCATAACACTTCGAGTTGCTACTGATCTAACCTTCCCCAGTAGGAAACTCTCAACGATTCAATTGATGCCTTGGCTCGTTCCCCCACTTTCGCCCAATAATCATAATTCATAATATAATAATATAATAATATAATAATATAATATAATATAATAATATAATATATATAATATATATATAAATAATAATAATATAATAATATAATAATAATTCATAATCATACAGAAAACTGTGATATTCATTCATAAGATTCATGAGTTGGATACGAGACCAGATGTTATGACCTTATATGGAAAGAAGGTGTAGGCTTGATCAGTAGCAACCCGAGGAGGTGTCATGGCGTCTCACGGGGCAATTTTGATGATTGTTCAATGAAAATATTGCCGTTAAAATAACTATTTTCAAATCCTTTTTATAAAAACTTAAAAGACAAAAAAGATCGACCACATTCACAAAGCATCCGTAACTTTTGTGACGTCATCAAAATGTGTTTTCTATTTATATTTTATATATAAAATAACTATTTTCAAATCCTTTTTATAAAGATTTAAAAGACAAAAAAGATCGACCACATTCACAAGCCATCCGTAACTTTCGTGACGTCATCAAAATGTGCTTTTCTCCAAATATGGAATCAGACGCCATGACACCTCCTCGAGTTGCTGCTGATCTAGCCTTCCCCTTCTGCCTTGGGTGAAGTATTCTTGAAAAGCATGACGTTTCGGAGCCTCGAAGTCTTCAGAAGAGACTTACTCATGTTAAAAGAAATTCGAGGGTGTTTTGTCTAATAGCGGAAATCTTTTGGACAAATATACATGTAATCCTAGTGTTTTTTATCCAGATTATCAAGGCAACCAACTGGATAGTATATATAACCCGCAGTATTAGAAACTAAAAACTATTCCCCATCATACACGATTGCATTTACTTTACGAACAAACATCAAAACAGACGCCATGACACCTCCTCGAGTTGCTACTGACCTAACCTGCCCCGTGGAAAGGTGGCAGAATATTTGCTAAGTTTATTAAAATGACTAATTATTTAAATTACTCTAATCTACCAGGGACGAAAATTTTGGTCAGGGAGGAACATATTCATTATGGTGACAGTATAACACGTTGATATATCTTCGTCGCATCATATATGCCACATCAGTCATGTCACATAACTATCACCTTTATCATCACCATCATAATCATCACTATCATCATATTCGTCACCACCACCATCATCATTATCATCACCATCATCGTCATCATTATCATCATCATCACCATCATCATCATCATCACCATCATCATCATCTTCACGATCACTACCACCATCATCATCATCAATATTAGAAATACTGTAAATAGTAGCAAAACGTTTATATAAAGTATCATATTAGAGAAACCTTTATATGAAATATTATATTAACGATAGTTCAAGAGCACATTTCACAATGAAAAAGGAAAAAAAAAAAAAAAAAAAAAAAAAAAAAAAAAATATATAATATATATATATATATATATATATATATATATATATATATATATATATATATATATATATATAGCGAATCAGGAAGAAAAACTATAGATTTTTGTGTTTAATGGCAATGAAAGGGTTTACAATACTTAATAAGCTGTCGGGGAGAGAGAGAGAGAGAGAGAGAGAGAGAGAGAGAGAGAGAGAGAGAGAGAGAGAGAGAGAGAGAGAGAGAGAGACGAAAATAATTACATTATTCCCTTTTTCATACGCCAATGTACTTGTGTAGTAGTAATATGTGTAGTACTAGTATTATTATTGTTGTTGTGTTTATATTTTTGGTTTGTAGTTCTTTTACTATTATAATTTTTGTTTTGATATCATTAGTATAACCGTTGTTAGTATCATGGTATAAGTTATGGTCATATTAAGAGTTTTTAATTTCGTTGTGATGATCATTATCACTATTATTACCATGTTTATCAGTATTGCCATTACTTTTTCCTGTGTTTCCCGTGTTCGTGAACGTGTATTCGTGTGTACGTGACATGTGTATGTTTTTATTAACACAAAAAACATAAACACATAAGACAATGCATGCGGAGCCAGAACACATTAACATTCCAAACAGAAATTAGAGGAACTGAGAAATTTGCATAAGATTTGCACTCTTTCGAAATCTTCTGTCTTCTCTTTGCGAATATTGCTCTTTGCCACAAGATAAAAAAAAAAAATAGATAAAAAAAATGAAATAAAAACAAAAAATAATAGATAGATAAAAATAAAAAAATAAAAAAATAAAAAAGGAATCGTCTACACTCTCAGGCTATGTCCAAACAAACGGGGTTTACTAAAATGTATTCTGTGTATTTCATTGACATACTTTGACAGCTTCACGGCGTTGCTTCCCAGCCGCCTCAGCGCGCGAATCAGAGTGGATCTCGGCAAGATCCGTTTAGACCTTGGCTATCGGGCTATATATATAATTACATACATACATACATACATATGTGTGTGTGTGTGTGTGTGTGTGTGTGTGTGTGTGTGTGTGTGTGTGTGTGTGTGTGTGTGTGTGTGTGTGTGTGTGTGTGTGTGTGTGTGCGTGTGTGTGCGTCGCTGACAGTAGACTGGAATGGACAGCTGGACCTTGTCAGCCCTGTTGTCTCCGAGTTCAGTTTTACATTTCTTCGAAAAAGTTGGCTGAGGACGAGGTTCTTCAAAAATTTAGCTTCGAGCAGACACAGCTGAGGATTTTCAGTGGACCAGCAAATAATACTTGTCGAAAAAAGGAAAGAAATCTGAGAGAGAGAGAGAGAGAGAGAGAGAGAGAGAGAGAGAGAGAGAGAGAGAGAGAGAGAGAGAGAGAGAGAGAGAGAGAGAGAGAGAGAGAGAGAGAGAGAGAAGGAGAGAAAGAGAGAAGAGAGAGAGAGAAAGAGAGAGAGAGAGAGGAAAGAGAGGAAAGAGAGAGAGAGAGAGAGAAAAGTGAGGAAGAGACAGACAGGCAGAGAGAAAGTAAATTTCCATCATGCTTTATTCCCTTAACAAGATCAAATTAACCGTTAACAATATCCGTAAACAAAACATACACAAGAAGCGACCCATGGCATTTTTTTTTTTTTTTAAGTCGATGAGATAAAAGTTATTCCCTCTCCTTCACCCCTTTCTCCTTGGTTCTTCACTGCCTCCTTTCCACTTTAAACTATCGAGGATTTTAGTCTCACCACTTTAAACTGTTCTAAATTCCATGCACACGAAGTAGACCCACCTTCACCTTTAAGAAATCTGTTTTTCGTTTTCTTTTGTTTTTCCTACCTTATCAGTGGGTATCGAGAGAGTGAATGTATATGAATAAAAAAACTGATGTTGATCTGAGAGAAATTTGAAATGAATATGGAAGTTTAAGCGGGTTTTAATGATATGTTAACCTACGTTGTGAACGGAGTTTTTTCTTTGTATGGATTACTGCGCATGTCTTTGCATGGCGTAAGGAGATAAGTTTGTTGGTTTATGCCCTCCATTCCCTCTCTCTCTCTCTTTGTTTATTCTTTTACAGTGTACATTAATTTATACCTTCTATACTCTCTCTCTCTCTCTCTCTCTCTCTCTCTCTCTCTCTCTCTCTCTCTCTCTCTCTCTCTCTCTCTCTCTCTCTCTCTCTCTCTCTCTCTCTCTTCTCTTTCATTCCCGTCTTCCCTGATATGTTTCTGTATATGATACGCATATCTTTTTTTTCTGTCTATCTATCTCTGTTTGTCTCTCTTTCCCAAGGCATTCATTTATATTCATCATATACGGGTATTGCAGCAAGCGAAAATACATCTTGCTGACGTGTTGATAAGCCAACTAGAAAAATGTTTTATCTGTTTATTATCCTCGCAACTTTCTCATTACTGTTTTGTCTTTTATAGTTACATATATGCTTTAGTTACAGATATGGTTACGCGAAAATTCCAACTTGTAGATGGAAGTTGCAAGGCATTTATTACGAAATCCATTGTTTGTCACTGCATGATAATAATTCTATATATAGAGCCAGACATGTGTAAATACTGAACTGATTTCTATAAACTGATAAATTTTCGTAACGATTAAAGACACTTTTTATACATTTAACTCAAACTATGACAATACATCTATCCGTACAGTATGAACGAAAATAAATGACAAAGCAACCAAACAAAAAGGAAAAGCGAATAACTTCATGACATATTGCGAAATGAATGTGAATTGAAGTGATTTAGTTCATGGACATTTATGTGAATAAGCAAAGCGGATCTATTTTGATGTGAGAAGGGAATGGACAATGCCATGCTTTATGTGTTTGTAAAAGAGTATTATAATTATTTTTTTGTGCTTTACTACTGCGGTGACTTACAGCATCTATTGCATATACACGTACAAACATGTAGAATCCATCTGTCATGCCTGAACACAAATAACATTTGCTTCATTAGGCATCGAATTTTCATAATTTTCGAATATGTATAATTTTGGTGAAATATCATGTCAGCGCGACCATATTGTACAGAAATCAAAATAGATAAATCGTATGTTGTACGTTTAACCAGCCTTCACATAACACCAGTCAATTATATGAAAAAAAATTACAGATGCATTATTTTATTGTTATAATTGTTATTTTTTAAACATATTTTGACTTGAGTGGGAAGTCGTTTCCCCGATAAGAACATTTCAAGTCGGTGAAATAAAAGATACATGCGTTGTAACTTCTAAACAGCTGGGGTTTTCTCTAAACACGCCTTAAATATACCTCCATAACAGAAAAAATAGGTCCGTTACGTATTTAACTATTCCCCCCAAAAAACTGTTAAATCAAAAGGTAAATAACAGAAAAAAATGCGATGTGAGTGAAAATTCCTGAATTCCGCGCGGGTCGAGAGTGCACCGTCATCTGACTCCGCTTCCAGACCTCTTCCATTTTCGTTTATTTTTTAATAGAGTGTCACTGCCTCGTCACACCACCCTGTTCTCCTGTCAGTACCCATTGTTTGAGTTCCGTTTGACCTGGGCATTGCCTTTCTCTGTTCCGTTGTCTCGCTTCCTCGCTCGGATAGAACTGTCATTGTTGAAAGCGATTCTCCTTTCTTTTTTTTTTACGTTTTCCTTCTTCGCTTGTTCGTCCACACCCATTATCATCATCTATTTCTCTCTCTCTCTCGCTCTCTCTCGCCCGTGCCATGACCTCCGCCAGCACGAGGTGATGAATGAGGTCACCCTTGAGGTCGCTGCCGGCTTGAACTCGACGCTGAGCCAGGTCACCTCGGCCCTCAGGTGGGTGCTGGCGTGCCTGACCTCGGTTCTCCTGGACGAGGAAGGTCAGGTGTCCACCAGGTCGCTGCAACAGGTCAGAGGTGAGGCGCTGCATGCTGGTTTTATTTTATTTTATTTTTTTAAGGTTTTGTCACATGAAGGAAGTTTTCCCAGGTTGACAGGAGGAAGGAAGAGGTATTTTTATTATCTCGTCAATGCTAAACCTCATTGTATCACATAGAGAAGATCGCGATGATGCCAAGCGCAGATGCTACTAGCAGGTAGAATATTGATTGGTGCTTATTTCTTCGTAAGGGATAAATCGCCTTTTTTTTTTACTCGTATCTAGTTCTTTGTCTGCCATTGTTTTCACAACCTTTTGCATCTCAGAATATTTGTCCTTTTATTTTCGTATCAGCTCAAAACTCGTTTGACAGTTTCTTTACAAAAGCAATCCGCCCACTAACAGGTTTATGTCACTCAGTGCATCCAGAAGATAAGTGGTAAATTGTATTAATTAACGGGCAGTGAATTAAAAAACGGGATTATCTCGTAATAAAGTTGGCTCTCATTCTATCCAAATCTAATGAAACATAATGATTTAGAATAGAAGGGCATACAATACCAGTCTGACACAATATGGCTCAGTGTCACGCCTTTGTTCTGGTATGTTTCAGTTTGAACTAGTTTCCTGGTTGATTGTAAATCATTAGGGAGGCCTGCAAACTCCTGATCTTACCCAATGCCTTCTCCATGTGTGTTTTTACCAGTGCAGGGCATTAGCAGTGTATTGGTAGGTGGATAGATGGAGGGTAGTTAAAAAGAGAGATAGGACGACTTCTATTCAGCAGCCTGTTGAACCCGAGAGTTAAGTTGACCTTTTTCCCAAGAGTATTCTGATAGCCGTTTATGGGACGGGAAATTTTTTTTGTCATGAATGAACGCATTAGATGTTTGTTTTACTTCCTGTGGCTATAAGAGGATCAAGTGAATTATACAAATCATTATTTATATAGCTATATCTGGCATCTCACAGGGGGTTTTGTCATTGTGTGAATGCAGTGATGTCATTTAGTTCAACAACATTTTCACTCATGTTAGTCTGTATGATATGTTATCATAAATATTTTTTTAGTATGTTTTCTTTGAAAATTAGGAAATAATGATTTTGGTATACAAATACGGGAAGAGTAGAGATAAACAAAGAAAATAAAGAAACCCTGATAATATTTGTAATAAATTATAGTTAAGGGGAGGGCTTTACATGGCTTTTGCCGACTAGAATTTTCATTGAGACAAAGTGGTGCTGCTTGTCTTGCATAAGTGTAATAGGGAAATTTACCTTAAAAAGTATGTAGCTAGAACATTTACCTTATGTTTTGGTTAAGGTTCGGATAGCTTTGTTCTGATTACAATAAAGTAGGCTCTAGGAGTTGTCATCAGGAGGGATATTTTTCCATTTGAATTACCATTGGATGAAAGCTTCTCATTATTTATGATATTAGAATATTATTTATTCATGTCTCATCTGTAAATCATTTGGAGAATGTTGAGAAGTAATTAATCGTATTATAAATAAGATTTTGGTTTATGTGTGTAGGACATTGGCTACATGTCTTTGCACCACTCTCTACACTTATAACTGTGGCATATACAATTTTTTTTAAAGAACTGAGGCTAAAATGAGATTAACACAGTATTAGTCTCATGACAAGTTGAGCTGCCCATTCCCTGAACTTTTTTCCAGGCTTGCTGACTGTTGGAGAGCTGTTAGGTATTCGTCATAGGGAAATGTAACGCAAAATGATCTGTGTTTTGGGCTTCTGGATGGTATGCAGGACAGAGGAGCATGTGTTTTAGTTCCCAGTGGTGCATGTTATCCGCTGTTCTACAATGCCCTAATCTTATTCAGTTTGTAATGGTCTGCTTTCTCCCTGTGAGGGTGTTTAAGCCTAGGAGAGGTTTTGTTGTCCTTAACCAGGTATCCTTTTCGAAGGGTATCTTCCCAGTCAGCCTCCATAATGCCTCGTTGTTAGAGCCTTCCCTTACAGAGTTGTAGAGGGGTTTCTGTGATTTGTGTTGATTGATGGGCAGTGCTTGTTAAGGCTTTTCTTCTGATGTGAGAGGAGCAAGAGTACTCATTACTAGGAGCCAAGCAGTTGGTGTCAACTTCAAGATTTCAGCTATGATTCTCATAATTTTGTGTATGCATTTCTAAGTAGCTTGGCCAAGTTGTGCTTCTCTATGATTAAATATTAATTGATTTATTTTTGGATAATATCATTGTAAACATTTTACATTTTGTGTCATTGCCATGATTTGAACTTGGTTCTTAGGAGGCATATTTAAGGATAAAATACCAGTAATTCAAGTGAATATAGCAGTGTCAATCTTTCTAGGTCAGTGGTAGACAAGCAAAATAAGCTAGTGGTCAGGGCACAGGTAGCCAAGTGACAGACAGGCAAGATAAGGACACCCAGATTCATATCACTACAGGTACACAATCCCATATCCGAAGTCCTTGGGGCCAGTTATGTTTTGGTTTCCAATTTTTCAGTTTCCAGAATATCAAACAATATTGCAGCAAAAATGTATGAATACTTATGAGGGATAAAATATTACAGTTTATTTATAAAGTGATATACTGATAAATGAAATAGAGGGATAATTAAGAACATAAGTAGGTTAAGTAGGTAGGCTTTTTGCTCGCCAAATATTCGGTTTTCAGATGTTCAGATATTAAGATTTTGAACTTGTAATTCAGTTGAAGATTGCGGTGGTAGTTATATTTCGTTATGAAGATTAATTGATGATGTTAGCATGTAGATATACAAGAGTAATTAATGTGAATTTTCCTCCCATCTATTTTTTTTATTTTTTTTTTTTTGAGATAGACTGCTGTTACTGGCTGGACTGATTTGATTTGGTGGCTCGGCTTTACTCCTCTTCAAAGCCATGTTTTTAAAGCCTTTGCCATCATTCTGGTTGTCAATTTTGTTCTGATTACGGTATTCTGGTATGTGTATGCCCAGCGGATCTCACACACTCTCTCTTACAGTAAGTGTCAGAGTTGTACGTATGTATGTTTATAGTGTATTTCCTTTGCTTTACACGTCTAGAGTGCTTGTTTTAGGTATTGAATAATGATTCTGTTTGTTTTATTTTTTTATTGTTATTTTATTATTTATCACTTAATCATTAAGAACAATGTTTTTGCTATTATCATTATATTGAGTTTTCTTGGAATATCTCTGAGGCAGTCTTCTTCAGGCTAGAGTGTATGATCCTATAGGGCATGGGTCAGTAATTACCTCTTAGTTAGCCAGTCACGATATAATTTAAGGTTTTCTAGGGTTAGGCCTATAATAGGATTACAGCTTATGCAGTGTCATGGGATGAACACGGTTAACAATATAGAATGGTAATGTTACAACTATTTCTAACTAGATTATTTATTAAAAATTTTAAACAAATTTATTGTTTTTATGTCTGAATACAAGATCTTTCCCCATTGCTGGCACCTCTTTTTTTTTTTTCTTAAAAGGCAGTAAAATTCTGGGTTGGGGCTACCTTTTTTGGTTGACAAAAAAAGTGCTAGGTAATTGATAAATTTTAATGAATGACTAAATAATGCAATGAATGAATGACTGAATGAAATTCCATCTGTACGATCTGGGTGCCTCGCATTTAGGCCAAAATATAGGCATTAGGCTTTCGTAAGTGACAATTGTTCTGGGTGTAGTTTGTAGGCTCAGCCCACACAAACACTCGTGTTTGGCATCGACTTTTTGTCCCTTTTTCTACATAAGCATTTTTTTTAACCATTTTCCAAGCTCTGTATTTAGCAATTGTCTTGCTGTATCATAATGCTGGTAATGTAATATATTCAATGAGCAGACTCCATTTTATATCTAGGTTGTATACAATTCTGTGCAATAACAATAGTTGTGTTGTGTTTTTTTTTTTTTTTTTTTTTTTTAAGGTCCATAACTCACCCCACACCTCTGGTCATGGGCAGGAATAGGATCCTTAGCATAGAACCAGTGTCTTTCCTTGAACCAGGGCTCTTCCTGCAATGGCTCATGAATGTTACATTGCGCCCTCACTTACTGGTGGAAATAATGCAAGAGCCCCTTCCTTAAATGCCCACCAAGTCTAATCTCCCACCAAGAGTTTTGTGCATTCATAATGAGTAGTTCCCATTGCCCGAGCTGTCACATTCCCATTACCCAGTCCTCAGACAATTTTTTTTTCAAAACGTGAGTGAGTTAGAGCACCCGGCCCCGATGTTTTTTTTTTTCTTTTCTTTCTTTCTTTTCTTTCTTTTCTTCTAACAACATGCCAGTTCTATAATGTTCTTGAAAATAATGATAAATAATGAAAAGACTGTAACCAGTTAGTTTTTACTTTCATCTGAAAACTTTCTTCCTATTCAACAGACAGCCTACGCATAGTTGAGGACATCCTGAAGAGGAACACAAACTTCAAAATCAACAAAGATAATCCTGCCCGCCCTTAATATTTAACTCAAGGTGAAGAATCTCTTATTGTCTTGTTAATTAAATTTTTGTTAAGTGATGATTTTTATTTTATTTTTTTATTTGCATTTGCTGTTTGATATTGTACGTGAAAAGTTTTGAAAATGATACTTATGTTTGTTTTATTCAACTGTTTTAATACCATTCCATAACTGTGTCTGAATAGGAAGGAACAATGGATGCTTTAAAGAAATTCTTTGAAAAGAAGAAAGCTGACACCAAATTCAAGCTTGCAGGCAAAGGGCACAGGTAAGTTTTTTCTTTTTTTCTCTTCTTTTGTAGAATATGCTCTGTAAATATGTTTGGTTACGTAATATATTCCCTGCACATGTGACCAGATGTTGATGAGTCACACCAATTACTGAGGCTGAAGAAACAGCTGTTACCCTCATGTAGCATGCATTGATATATTTATGATATTCATCATTCTTATTATTGTTAATTATATTAGTAGTAGTAGTAGTAGTTGTAGTGTGTGAGTATGAGTGTGTGTAAGAGTGAGAGAATGAGAGTGAGTGAGTGAGAGAATGAGAGTGAGTGAGTGAGAGAATGAGAGTGAGGAGTGAGAGTGAGAGTGAGTGAGTGAGAGAGAGAATGAGAGTGTGAGTGTGTAAGAGCAAGAGAATGAGTCAACAAGTGAGTGAGAGTGAGAGAATGAGTGAGTAAATGTGAGAGAATGAGTGAGAGTGAGAGAATGAATGAGTGAGAGTGAGAATGAGAGAATGAATGATTGAGAGCGAGAGAATGAATGAGTGAGAGAATGAATGAGTGAGATTGAGAGAATGAATGAGTGAGAGTGAGAGAATGAATGAGTGAGAGTGAGAGAATGAATGAGGATGAGATGAATGAGTGAGAGAATGATGAGAGAATGAGAGAGAATGAGAGAATGAATGAGTGAGAGTAAGAGGAGAATGAATGAGTAAGAGGGAGAATGAATGAGAGAGAGTAAGAGGGAGAATGAATGAGAGAGAGTAAGAGGGAGAATGAGAGAGAGAGTAAGAGGAGAATGAATGAGAGAGAAGAGGGAGAATGAAAGAGAGAGAGAATGAATGAGAGAGAGTGAATAAGAGGGAGAATGAATGAGAGAGAGTAAGAGGGAGAATGAAGAGAGAGAGTAAGAGGGAGAATGAATGAGAGAGAGTAAGAGGGAGAATGAATGAGAGAGAGTAAGAGGGAGAATGAATGAGAGAGTAAGAGGGTGAATGAGAGAGGAGGGAGAATGAATGAGAGAGATGAAGAGAGAGAGTAAGAGGGAGAGAGAGAGAGTGAGAGAGGGAGAATGAATGAGAGAGAAAATGTGAGAAAAAGGTAGGGAGAGTGAGAGTGAAAGTGAAGAGACAGAGACAGACTGACAATGAGAGCAGGAGAGAGACATAAGAGAGGGAGAGAGACAGAGACAGTGTACTTTTTTCCATAATCACAATAGTAAGACAACAAAGTGTTATGTGATTGATATTAAGACATACCATGTTTGATTCGTAGTTGGTTGTTTTATCCTCTAATCTTTTCTTATTGTGAGGTATTAAGAAATCCTAATATTCATACAATGGGATGCTCTACAGTTTGACCAAGGAGGAGAGTGAGCGCGCCAAACAACCAAGACAGAGTCACTCACAGCAGAGGCATGTTCCAACACAGGATGCCCAGCGAGCTGGCGCTGCAGCTCTGGCTAGGATGGAGACGCAGTCTAAGCGAGTTGATGTTAACTGGTAGGGAGTGTATTTTGTACCATTCGGTCATTGGCTTCTCAGTGAAAGCAAGTTATTAGGTATTTGCAGTATAAGCGGGATTTTAGTTTGATGTGAATAGGTTTATTGTTGCTATGAAATGCACCTAACCCCATTGTGCTGTTTGCAAATTATTTGTCAATTTACCAAGTTTCTGTTGATAGTAGCCCTATGGAAAAAATTAATTATATTTAAATTCCTCTGTATACCTCTGATGCTATATAGTTCTTTTTATTTCTTAAGTGAAAGGATTCTGGCACCCTTAGACCACTGTGTTCATGGATATTCCACAGGTCCCTCCAAGCCATCAAGGCCCAAGCCAGACGAGAGCTGGAGGCTGAGCAGAAGGCCTTAGAGCAGCTGAACCTTGAGAGCCAGGCAGCACCACCAGGGCCCAAGGAGGTCAGCCTGGAGGCAGCACCCATGCTTGCTGTACAAGGAGTCTTCTTCCACTGTCCTTTACTTGGTAGGTTACTTTCTCTGAATTTAGTTAGTGCAGTTTGGTTACTATTTTTTCCAGCTGGTGTTGTATGCATTTCTTTAATCTGAGTCTTGTAAGTAGTTGTTGTTTGTTTATTATCATCTATTATTTATTTTTCAGGGCCAGAAGTTGCAACTTATGAAGAAATCAAAAGACAAATCCGTGAATTTCTATTTTCTCAGATAGAAGAAGATAAAGGCATAGCAGCTTGCCTCATTATTCAAACTTGTAACAAAAACAAAGAAAAGGTAAGGAGTACGTGAACAAGTAGATGTAATTAAATAAAAGGTGTATGTATGAATTTGATGGATATACAGCAGATTGGTATCCCTTTCATTGTGCTTTGAATGGAGCAATATAATTCACATTTGCAATCTTTGAAAATTCAGTACCACAATTCTTTATACTTACAGATTAATGTGTGTAATGAAACTTTGTGCAAGTATATTGAAAACATTGTTTCCAACCCTACGGAGGAAAAGTATAGAAAGATCAGGATGTCAAACAAAGCTTTTCAAGAAAGGATTCTACCTATTGAAGGGACTAAGGAATTCCTTGAAGCTGCAGGATTTGTCGTGCAGGAACTACCTTTTAATGAAGGAACTGACAAGTTTTGGGTAGCTATTGTTTTTGAGTTCATCCTCTTAATGTATCTAGTAAACTTTTCTTGTAATATAATGTGCTGTCTACATAATATTAAAGGTAAAATTGTAAAGATGTATGCTTATTTAGAATGTCAGTATAGTAGTGTATCCTGTCTTTAATATTTTGTTATTCTAGATTTGTTTTTGTTTTTTCAAAGGTGTTTCCAGAAGACAAGCTTGCAGATCTGAGTACTTTAGAGCAGTTGCGTGATGCTCTGGTAAGTGCTGAACCTGTACGACCTCAGCTGGACCGAAGTGCAAGAGTTCTTTTGCCGACTGAGGCTGCCTCGCACACAGACTTGCCTGCAGAATTTTTCAACCTAACAGCAGAGGAACTTAAAAAGGAAATGCAGCAAAGGTATAGTTTTTTTAAATATTGTATATGTTGTTGATATTAAACTGAACTTATGACAGGTGTCCCACACGAGACACCTAGAAAACTTAACATTGCCAGGCGTCCTGCCAGTGCGACGCCAGATCGGAGCTCGCACTCTGATTTTGTCACCTATGGTGGCTGGCACATGGGCAGGTTGCCAGACTCGGCCGTGCACCGATTTTGAAGCCACCCGGAAAATATTATCGGCTTATAAATGTATTGTTGCTAGTGGATTAAGCAAGGAAAATTTAATTAGTCTAAGTACATTTAAGTATGTATACTATACTGACATTGAAGGAAATAAATGTGATTATTGGAAAATGGATACATTTTTTTGTTTGCAGAGCTACTGCAGTGGAGCGGAGTATGATACTCCAGACAAAGGCTATGCGTGATCGCCAAGAGTTGAGGGAAATGAGAAAGTATAGGTTTAGTTTAATGAGGTCAGTTTTCATATTGGAGTTTGTAGATTTACAAAAAGAATCTGAAAAATGCCGATATAAACTGTAGTGATTGTTCACTAAAATTTTAAAGGTTTAGCTGGTCAGGTAAAATTAACATTTACCATTTATTTCTTAGGGTACGCTTCCCAGATGGCCTAATTCTCCAGGGAACCTTTGGGACATATGAGAAGTTTGGGGAAGTGATGAGCTTTGTACGGGAACATCTACAGAATGACTGGCGGCCATTCTTTTTAAGCCTCAGCAGTGGTGGAAAGGTAAGATTAGCATGTCACTCTAGTTATTTACCCACATCAGCAAAGTCATTTGTTGAGTACTGAAATGAGTGTATTATACTTTTCTAAGCTCTTCTCAGCCTCTGGCTCATGATGTAGCAGATAATCATCAGTAATATCTCTGTAATTTTATTTTGTAGATAACAGAAGAGGATCAGAGCCTGGTTGAACTTCGATTGGTACCAGCTGTTGTCTTCAATTTTACGTGGGATTCAAGTGTGACAGATCCAAACTTGGACGATAGCCTTTACCTCAAACAGGATACCTTGATGCTCTTACAGAATATGTCTTAGATGGAAGGCTCTCCATTTTAAATAAAAAAAATATCCATGGTGTCTTTTGTACATACCAGCCATTGATCAGTCAGGTGAGAGTATACATGTAGTGTTAAATTTGACAACTTTTTTCGTTGATAGGAATTAATGTAATTCATCATTATAGGTCAGTTTATTAGTCATATTTAATCAGTTGTAATTTGAATTTACTATCATTTCCAATGTTTAAAAACACCAAAATATTAATACACACACATATATATGATGTGATAAGGCAATGTTTCTTGATATATATACAGAACAAACAGCTATCATGCTTTGATGTGCAAGATATTTGCCTGCTGGCTCATAAAAACATGTGATACTAGTTTCCCAAATACTGCTGATAAAGTATTATATCAGGAGTCCGAAGTTTATATTACCATGTTATTGAATCTTCCTAAATCTGCTAAAGGAGGTATCACACAAGCTAGTTTTCTCGCACAACCTTCAGTGTTCATGGAACAGTGTTTTGTGCTCTGCAGTGTGAAATAGGAACACATGATTTTTTGAATTATTTATTACTATTATAATACTGTACTTTAATCAGACAAATTTAACTAGTAGGAAAATTGTATAGTTTGCAGATTATGACTTGATGCAAACTGCAAAAGATAGGGCAAGAAATTACATATTAATTAGAAGTTCACTTACATTAGGACCTGTCCATATGTGGGCAAACATAATAACCCTATTACAATCAAGGTGGGCAAAATTGGAGAAACAATAGGCTTTGCCAATAGTCTTGATAAAATGCCCCAAATCAAGTCCTGACTGAGACAGCCTAGTCTTCCTGTGGACACAGAATGAGTGTGCATATCCATGGTTCATCTTGGTGCCAAGGATTCATTAACTAAATGTGGCACTGGTGTTTACCAGATCTGAGGCTTTAGTTTTCTTGATTATAATGTCATCAGACCTTATTCCTGCCACCAACTAAGTTCAGGTAATCATTTTGCCCACATTGACTTAAATCATCATATGCACAGGGCTGTAGTCATTTATTGCCATCATACTTTGTATCACAATTCTTGAATAACATCTTATTTGGAAGCCCATCATTCATCTTTCTAAGCCATGTCCAGACAAGCAGGCAAGATAAGCAGGCATGGCTGAGAAGTGATGTTAGAGATGAGCAAACTACTGGCTAAACAGCCAATTTGAGTGGAAATAGTTGTCTAGCCAGTGGTATCCCTGCCCTGCCTGTCACTTCTGAGGCATGCCATCAATCATGCCACTCCTCTAGACATGCTCTTTTAATGTATATCAATAAAAGCATAATAATTGGAAGGCTCCAATAATTATGACCTGCGTTCCCAAGGAAAAACTACCACCCCCTCCCCTCTCCCAGGCCCATCCACGTGATCAGACAGCCTGGCAGGCATTACTTATCACGGGGCTGTGTATTGTATGTGGGCAGTTCTAATGTCCTTCATAAGTGTCTGAGGCCAGTCAATCCTGGGCAGAAGCTAGAGCAGGTGGTCAACAGATGTTCAGGACAAGCTTATGTAAAGAATGTAGTTTGTATTTGCGTAAAGTGAACTACCAATTTACAATTAGGCCATAAAATGAAGCATAAGATTTTTAAATTGATTTAGTTTGATACACTATGATAAATACTGTAGGCTTTAAGTTTGATCATGTGAATGGGCCTTTATTTTTCGTTACTTTTCATAAAGAAACATCTATCCACTGTTCGAAACTGACAGGGTAATATACTTTTTGGAATGTAATACCCAACAAAATTTGCTGCTTGTGTGATAACCTCATGTTTAATTAGAGTATCAAGACAATGTTACCTGCCACACAGTTGTGCAAGATGCGCATTTACAGATTTCTTGGGAGTGTTAGCATTGCAAATGTGGGCAATCTAATAGCAGCCTTTTTGTGTGTATATAAATTATTTCGGCTGAATATTTCATTCATCAGTTGACACTAGTCACTGTATTCAAAGGTATCTTGTCCGGTGCCAGTGCTATCTGCATTTTGCCAATTAAAGACTGTTCCTATTGTATTTTGTAAACTTGTTACAGCTAGTTGTGCATGTAGTTTCTCAAATCCCCGTTTAGTAGTTATTCAATTTCATTAAATGCAGTTTTGAAAACCAATAAACAGTGGACACCCAGTTTGAAATAATAAATTATGTACAGTATACTGCTTGTGTAGCTGGATAATATATTTTGATACTAAGCCTAATAAGGTAATAAGACAGAGCAGCTACATTGTGACAATGGTATGGAATTTTCTGGTAGAAAAAAATCCCCTCGGCTACAATGCACAGTGATGGTAATCTATCGTGTAGTGTCGAATGTATTGTGCAGAAATTCAGTGCTTATTGAGGAGACATTCCAGTTTTTTTGTTTTTGTTTTTTTCTGATCTACTCTGTGCTCTACATGATTGGTAATGTGCATCATATTGAAATGAAACCTTTAGTGAACAAACAGTGGCATGTATGTGGTACCTTGTATTTTCTTAATTAAGAGGACACATTTAAGAAACATGGAGTCGTAGTGAGAAACACTTATTATAAAATGCTAGCAGTTTCTTATTTTTTTGAAACATTTGGCCAAGCTTATTTTCCATTGTAAAGCCTTACAGCAAATTTGTGCACTGCAATTAAAGGAAGTAAAACAAAGTTTGTTCCCTCTGGGTTTTATTGTACTCAAGTTAGCGTAGACATTTTTCCAACTTGTTTTCAGGAATAATCCATGAAGTCAGATAAATGTATTCTGTAATAATTGATGTATTATTAACCTTTTCAGACTGTAAAAAAAAACAAAAAGTTTTAGTAAATTAAAAGACACACAATGTAGTATTGAAATAACCATTTCCATGGCTTGATTTGAGGTACCTTTTTTATATCAAGAATTTGATCATAGATCTAAAGAAGAAAAAATAAAAGAAAGGAAATTCACTTGTATTCAGATCTTTCATCCTTAGATTATATACCCAAATTATGTTGTATATCCATTAAATAAAAACTTATAAACTCTTAGTTCCTATATTTTCCCTATGGATATTACTTCTTTCTCTGATAACAGGTTAAAAACACTTAATTACCAATTATGAACTCTTCATACTCGTCCACACATTTTGACTGTAAGAGATAGGACTAACACAAGGAGAAAAGAGCACAGTATTCGGAAAATGGAGGCAAACTGCCAAATCATGTAAAAGTGTGAAAGATTTTGGTGTGGAAAATGGTACTGCTGAAAGAGCCAATGATAGCAAAAACTGACAGGAAAAAAACTGCTGTGTAAAAATCAACACAGAAGGCAGAAAGTAATATCTAGTTATATCAATGGTACAGGAGGAGGAGGAAAGAGGGAGGGGGGAGAAGGAGGAGGAAGAGGGAGAGGGGGTTGTCAGGGTTTCATAGCTGACAGTGGGGGGGGGGGGGGTTGTCAGGGTTTCATAGCTGACAGTGGGGGGGGGGGGTTGTCAGGGTTTCATAGCTGACAGTGGGGGGGTGGGGGTTGTCTGGGTTTCATAGCTGACAGTAGGGTTTCATAGCTGACAGTGGGGGTTGTCTGGGGTTTCATAGCTGACAGTGGGGGGTGGGGGGTTGGGGGTTTCATAGCTGACAGTGGGGGGGGGGGTTGTCAGGGTTTCATAGCTGACAGTGGGGGGTTGTCTGGGGCTGGTGGGGGGGGGGGTCAGACATAGCTGACAGTGGGGGGTGGGGGGTTGTCAGGGTTTCATAGCTGACAGTGGGGGGTGGGGGTGTCAGGGTTTCATAGCTGACAGTGGGGGGGTGGGGGGTTGTCAGGGTTTCATAGCTGACAGTGGGGGGGGGGGTTGTCAGGGTTTCATAGCTGATGGGGTCAGGGTTTCATAGCTGACAGTGGGAGGGGGGGGGTTGTCAGGGTTTTACTAGCTGACAGTGGGGGGGGGGGTGTCAGGGTTTCATAGCTGACAGTGGGGGGGTGGAGGGTTGTCAGGGTTTCATAGCTGACAGTGGGGGGGGGGGGTTGTCAGGGTTTCATAGCTGACAGGGGGGGGGGGGTTGCAGGGTTTCATAGCTGACAGTGGGGGGGGGAGGTTGTCAGGGTTTCATAGCTGACAGTGGGGGTGGTGGGGGGTTGTCAGGGTTTCATAGCTGACAGTGGGGGGGGTGGGGGGTTGTCAGGGTTTCATAGCTGACAGTGGGGGGGGGGGGGGTTGTCAGGGTTTCATAGCTGACAGTGGGGGGGGGGGGGGTTGTCAGGGTTTCATAAGTGAGGGTTTCATATGGGGGGGGGGTGGGGGGTGTCAGGGTTTCATAGCTACAGTGGGGGGGGGGGGGTTGTCAGGGTTTATAGCTGACAGTGGGGGGGGGGGTTGTCAGGGTTTCATAGCTGACAGTGGGGGGGTGGGGGGGGGTTGTCAGGGTTTCATAGCTGACAGTGGGGGGGGTGGGGTTGTCAGGGTTTCATAGCTGACAGTGGGGAGGGGGGTTGTCAGGGTTTCATAGCTGACAGTGGGGGGGGGGGTTGTCAGGGTTTCATAGCTGACAGTGGGGGGGTTGGGGGTTGTCAGGGTTTCATAGCTGACAGTGGGGGGGGGGTTGTCAGGGTTTCATAGCTGACAGTGGGGGGTGGGGGGTTGTCAGGGTTTCATAGCTGACAGTGGGGGGGTGGGGGTTTGTCAGGGTTTTCATAGCTGACAGTGGGGGGTGGGATGTCAGGGTTTCATAGCTACAGTGGGGGGGGGGTTGTCAGGGTTTCATAGCTAACAGGGGGGGGGATTGTCAGGGTTTCATAGCTAACAGGGGGGGGGATTGTCAGGTTTCATAGGGGGGGGGGATTGTCAGGGTTTCATAGCTAACAGGGGGGGGGATTGTCAGGGTTTCATAACAGGGGGGGGGGATTGTCAGGTTTCATAGCTAACAGGGGGGGGGATTGTCAGGGTTTCAGGCTAACAGGGGGGGGGTTGTCAGGGTTTCATAGCTAACAGGGGGTTGTCAGGGTTTCATGGCTAACAGGGGGGGGGGGTCAGGGCTAACAGGGGGGGGATTGTCAGGGTTTCATGCTAACAGGGGGGGGGGGTTGCAGGGTTTCAGCTAGGGGGGGGGATTCAGGGTAGCTAACAGGGGGGGGGATTGTCAGGGTTTCATAGCTAACAGGGGGGGGGATTGTCAGGGTTTCATAGCTAACAGGGGGGGGGGATTGTCAGGGTTTCATAGCTAACAGGGGGGGGGGGATTGTCAGGGTTTCATAGCTAACAGGGGAGGGGGGATTGTCAGGTTTCATAGCTACACAGGGTTTCGGGGAGGGGGGGATTGTCAGGGTTTCATAGCTATTACATAGCTAACAAAGTTTTACCAGGAAGGAAATTATGGGTGGGGGGGAGGAGAGAGAGAGAGCACCTACCATTTTGTAAATTTCATATTTGGCAATTAATAATAGTATGTATAGCTAGCAGTTTTAGAAGCTTTAGTCTGCAGTGACTGTACATAGCTCTTTCAAGAAAAGAAGTATCTTATGATGTGACATGACAGCAGCAATTTTGCAATGTGTGAACTATTTAGGCAAATCATGTTTACAAAGCACAACAAAGAAGGGTGGGAGGCATCAGGCAAGATCCTCCGGTCTAGTAATATAGACACACTGTATGGAACACTGTTCGCCTATTCTATTTACACCACAGTTTCTTTAAAAAATAAAAAAAAAAAATAAAAAATGAAAATAAAATTGCTTACATCAGAACTGGTCTTCCTCATCTAGTAAGATATTACTACTACTTCAAGAATTTCATTTATATTAATTCCTCCTAATCTAAGTGTTCATTAGCACTAATCTTATGACTACTATAATAGAAGACCACTGTTGCATTTATCATAATAACAAGAGTAATTTGAAGAGCAACTGTACAGTAATAAATTAACCTGTGTAAATTATGTTGTAGGCATTCAAGTTGTGCTGAAGTTTCATAGGATATGATGTATGTGAATGTGTAAACTGAACTATGGAACTATGGCTCATGGATATACAGTGGTATTTCATAGCAAAAGAAGTGATTAATGATGTAAATCTTAGTCAAGGTGGTGTGTAAATGATGTGGGAAGTGATGACATGGTGCAAGTTGTAAAATGATATACAAGTAATAGATTAGTTGGTGCTATTGGTAGCAGTTCAGTCTGGATAATGTAAATGACAATCTAAAACACAAGATCTAATCTAGTTTTGATTCAAATTATTCCAAAAAATGCTACAGAGAGAGCACAGCTTCCATATTCACATTATCGCAATAGGTTATACCTATGCTCTCCTTGTAACTTACATAATACATCAAATAACTGACAATAACATTTGCACTACAGCAGGCAAAAAAGAAATGCTAGTGCTCTTGTTGCAGAGAACATTTGGCTTTCGCATCATCTTTGTAATTAGTCAGTCATGTTTTTGAAGTTTTTGACTGTGATTAAAAAAAAAAAACACTTAGGACTATCGAAAGCCAAGTCTCAGTATGGGCAGTGCATTCAAACACTTAGCTACTGCTAGGTCTTTTCATGGTAGGATGCAATACTGTACTTTTACTTCAAAATATAACTTGTGCAATAATTTGATTATCATATTCTGGGTGAATCAGGGCAGTAACAAATTTTCCATACAGTGTTCTTATATATTTGGTGTGTTATTACTGTCATCAATGACAGTCACACATAGCCTGATGGAGGGGATTGCACCCTCTCACCCTAAGAAAGTAGATAAAAAGACTTTCTTTTCATGAAATATTGAGAATCCCCATTATGAAAGCCCATTATACACACAATAGCTGCATCTTTACACCTAGCATACATTTCTTAAAAGATCATTAGTAACCACTGCAGTGAAATCCTGAACTATATCATACCACCTGGACTCCTGCTGTGCTACCAAACTACTAGGCTACTCTTGTACTACTTGAAACTACAATGCAGAATTGCTCATTAATACTGATGGCTGTTCAAATTACCTTCCAAGCACTAATGATATCTTACATACTTTTGGTAACAAATCTATGGAAGTGCCATGTAAATATTCACCAGTGTACAAGAAAGGTACAGCATTACTTGGTATGATAAAGACTCCATCCATTCATATATGCACAAGCATGTAAAACAGCCACAAAACATTACAAGAAATCACATATGGGAAAACTGCCCATGACAAGTCAAGGACACAGACATGTGCACCATACATCCATCATTTATCAAAAACTCATGAATTCTTTTACCTACATTGAAAACTAACACTGAAATATGAAATGTAGAAGCAAGAGTATAGAAAAAAATATTCACCTGCTGAGGGTCAGGGGAAATTTACTCACCTTCATGAAAACCTTACCTCCTTTGGTACTTTATGAAAGTAAATTGGCCATTAGTTTTAACTTACCTAGCAGTAGCCTCCTCACTACTTCTCCTCTACACTAGATGACGCTGTAAGGAACAAGACCATTTGAAATTTTGGATGTAATAAATGACATCAGTTTGTGAACACCATGAAGAAAATGAAAGTCAACATCCCTTACTAACCCAGGTAACATTTTCCAAAACTAAAAAATGTTGGTGACATGGACTAACAAACCATTGTACAGTCTATCTTGGTATTAATCTTGAACAAATTACAAACCATTCTTAAAAAATTATTACAGTATATACTTTGGAAATGACCTTGCTATGGTGCATTTCTTCAAAGTTTCCTTTACATCTTGCAAAGGACAACTCATTTTACTTGCATAGTGCTAAACCATAATCAAAACCTGGAAGTAAAACTTTATATAATTGTATACTTTTGAAGAGAAATAACTAAGTCCAAAATATTAAACTTTCAAATTTGGTCTACATACTAGTGATGTGATGAAATCCTCTAGCCAGACTTACTGTTCTTAAAAAAGATGGAAAAATGGACATTTATATTCAACTATAAGCTGCCATTAACATATACAATTAACCAACATTTTCCTACACTTGTGGTGTACTTTTTATGGCCATTAGAAACACCAATTCTTTGCCCACAATAAATGCAACTC